GATCATAGTGTTTTGTTATTTTTCTATATTATTTTTAATCGATATTATATAATGATCATATAGTACTTATGTGACATCCCACATCATCTAGGGAGCGATCATTATATGTTTATTTCCATCTCTACCTAGCATGAGGCCTTCTGAGAGCTTATTGGTTTCAGGTTTCGTAGGAACTCCGAAGTTAAGCGAGAAGTGCACGAGACCACTCCCCAGGATGGGTGATCCATTAGGAAGTTCTCGTGTGAGTTCCCATAAACAAAACCGTGAGGGCGTGGTCAGGACCCAAAGTGAATAATATTATGCTACAATGGTGGAGCGGACCCGAGAAATGGACCCCCTCGAACGGGGATGTGACAACTTTTATTCTCAATGTATTTTAAGTTTAAATATCTCACATTGTTGATATAACAATCAAATAGCTTTAATCACATTACAATCTCCAAAATATTTTACCTTCAAACTTGACATTCACATAAAAATTTCATTTACAACTGTATATTTCCTTAAGCTATCGTCATGTGATCAATACAGTGATAAAATAAAAAATTGTGTTAAAGAAGGTCAGATTTAAACAACTGTAAAATTGAGCTTATAAATGAAATTCCTTAAAAAAATGATCATAAGTATCAACTTATTTAGCCTATAAATTATAAAATATTCTTTTTTTATCAACAGCATATAATATTCTAAATTTTCAACCTTAATATCGTTATGGTTTAAATTTGAATATAAGTATGATGACAGGAAATTGTATATCTTTATTTGATTAAGAGGTAAAAAATAAAATTAAGTATTGGACCGTCAACTATGAGCAAATTGCATTCGAGGATCAACTATTAAAATAACCATCCGAAAAGAAACACAACCACTTAGCCAAAAATAAATAAATAAAGGGCAAATTTGATATAAATTTAACTTTTTTGAGCCAATAGAAGAAATAGTCTAATTTATTAAAATAAGTCTAATCCTTAAATTTATTTATTTTATTATCAATAATTATATCTTCAATGATAAGATTTATTATAAAAATCAAATTTCTTTCTAATTATCACCTTGATTATTTCTTTTTATTTTTTTGTTATTTATTGTCCTTCCTCCTACTTCAAATCCCATTTATAGATTTTATTTTTAATTTTTATAATCAACCTATATCATAGGTTAATTGCATTTATCTATCTATATAACAGATTATTTTTTATAGTCAACCTGTAAAAAATTAATGTGTCTTGTTTGTAGGTGTTTTTTCTATCTTTTAGTTAGGTTTCATATTTCACATATAGGTCTAATATACATTCATATATTCGTTACTTGAGTTAGGGTAGAATGTTTTGCAGATAGATTTATATTAGTGTATTAGTTTTTTTGTTATAAGATATTAATTAGATTTTTTAGAGTCGAAAAATGCATAATATTAGAAGATTTTATTTAATTTTTAATATTATTAGAAAATATAAAATAAGTATAAAAGAAATAAAAACATATAATTAGATGACTGGATTCCTTCCTAAAAATATTCTATGTTTTTTGACTTAGATCTAAAAATCCCATAAATAAAACCACGTGTAACAACACCTTCCACAGGAGGAAAACTCTCTGTAGACTTGGGTGTCCAGAGCTTCACAGAATCACATTCGCTCGACTAGCGAATTATCGTGAAGTGCTCTGCAACTCCCGAAATTCCATATTTCCACCGAGTTCCAAAGTCCCCTCCAGCAAAACAATGGTTTCCATGTCCTTCTTTGGAACTTTTTCAACACCTTTACAGGGGTTTTCTCAAACAAAAGCAAACGCAAGCTCGAATTCTTCAGCTTCATGCCCTCCCATGGCGTGCTGGATCAAATCCTCACTTGGATCTTCGCAATCAGCACTTTTCCGAAACGGGTTGTCTTTGCAATCGGAAAATTTTAATGGGGTTTTGTTCAAATCTCGGTCTTTGAGTGTTTATGCAAGAGCAGCTACAGAGAAAAGTCTTTATGATTTCACTGTCAAGGTATGTATGTGTGTGTAAATATGTAAAATATATATTTTCCTAGAAGGATGCATATTTTTTTCATTTTCCCTAATTATTTGATGAAATTATGTTTTTTTTTGCCTCTTTGTTTCTAGGATTTTTGTCGATTTTATACTTGTAATGTTGTAATGTTCAGAAGAATCAAATTTGAAGTTAGAACATTTGAACTAGGTGGTCGGGTTTTAAACTAATGTCTGAAATTTGTTTAATGTAGGATATTGATGCTAAGGATGTTCCTCTTAGCAAGTTCAAGGGGAAGGTTCTTTTGATTGTCAATGTTGCTTCAAGATGGTATTGCTTTCTTTATTGAGTTGGAACTATTTTTTATATGTGAATCAAATTTTACGGAAGGTCTCTGTGGAAGACTGGAAGTTTGAGATGCTAGTGAATTGACCAAAACTTGTTTATTTGAATTTCAGTGGCTTGACTTCTTCAAATTACTCAGAACTGTCACACTTGTATGAGAAATACAAAACACAAGGTATGCTGCAACTTCGCAAAATTCCCATTTTTCCGTTTCAGTAACAATTTCGTATCCACAAAATGCTGCATTAGATTAATTTATATGTTTCTGAAGTGTTTTGGATTAGTTCTTCCAGCTACAAAACTGAAAGATGAGTGATCTTTCTTGTTACACAAGTCACTTTCTTTTTGGTTGGTCAGGATCGCGGGTGCATGGGGAGGATTAGTTTTCGAATGCGTTTTATTGATTCATCTTTGACCATGAAACTTTTGACAAAAAAAAAAAAAAACGTTTGGCATGAAATGGTATACCAGAAGTGTTTCTGTTGATAGTTTTTTTAAGGTGGTAATGGATGCTGCGTATCTAAACTCAATCTCATTGTAGGATTTGAGATTCTAGCTTTCCCTTGCAATCAGTTCGGGGGCCAAGAACCCGGATCAAATGGGGAAATCAAGCAGTTTGCTTGTACGAGGTTTAAAGCCGAATTCCCAATTTTTGATAAGGTGCAAAGTTCAACTGCATGTCTTCCATCCATTACTTTCTTATTGTAATTTTTTTTTGTATGGAGATGGGTGTTTCAAGTACTAAAGGTACATTACAGGTTGATGTCAACGGTCCCAGCACAGCTCCGGTTTACCAGTTTCTGAAATCAAGTGCAGGAGGTTTTCTAGGTGACATTATCAAGTGGAATTTTGAGAAGTTTTTGGTGGACAAGAATGGTAAAGTTGTTGAAAGATACCCACCAACGACATCGCCTTTTCAAATTGAGGTATGCATTTTCCTTTTTTCATTTGGTTGTATAATTAGTAAGTTTATTATTCCTTAAGTAAATGTTAGGGAACTTGACGGTTTGGTGGAACCTAGCTTTCTACAATTATGTTTCTAGATGTTGACATCATTTTTGAACCACCTGTTTCCTCGTTCAAGCGTAGTTGGTGATTTGGTGGTCAAGCAAGTCTAGAATTTACGCTATTACATTGATAAGGTGAAATAGTTTTAAAGTCCCCTATCCTCGCAACCACTACATATTTTTTTTAATCAAATATTGATCAAGGCCAATACATTTGTTTAACCCCTGATGCTGATTGGAACGTTCCTGTAAATCTTCTGAGACAATCTCCCATGGTTTCTTTGTTGAGTCTGTTTGTAGTGCTATCCTTGCTGCTTTTGTAGCTTTCTTTGATTTGAATAAATTTCATTGATACTGAAAAAGTCGATAGTTCAGTAGCATCGTTATCAAAGCAATAACCGAAGCTTGAAGATATGAAACTTAATATGGTTGCCGAAATAACGTGTACTTTTTCTGCTTAGTGTGTTTCTGAAGTGAAACAGCATGGCAACTAGAGCATCATAATATGAACAGAAAAATATAAGAAGTTTTTCCCTTTAAAGTAACAGATCTCTCACCCCTGTTTTTCCGGTCTGATTTTTTTTGTATAATTTTTGGTTTCAGAAGGATATCCAGAAACTGGTCGCAGCTTGAGTAAAAGAGCTGCAGAACATGCACGGCGGCACCCAGTAAGGAGAAGATGGAGTATATATGGAAATCCCTGTATATTGCTTCCTAGATAATATCTGTCTTGTCAGTAGTTTTCTCTTCGAATACTTCTTGGCTCCTTTCATGGAATGTGACATTCCTCCTTCATGCAACACATATGCGGAAATAACTCTTTAGAAACACAAAAGGAAACATTTCTGCATCTGTGTCGAACTGTGATTAACATATTAGTAGGAATGGCGACTTCCAAGCGAACAAGCCAAGCGTTTTTCTTTCGTTTTCTTCTGTATTTGGACTAACTCCTTGTTGCTTTCTGTTGTTCTTTTTTCATATATTGTGATTATAATCATCATATTTGCATTTATACAAATGTGTATGTTCGAATTTGCTAAAATGGTCTGAAACTTTCAAGTGCGATAAATTGCTAATTTTTAATCTGTCCAACGACTGTCAGTGAATTAGCTTAATTACGAGAAATTACTCTGATCAGCTCTATGTTCACAAGTCGCGATCCTCGTTCTCCCATTGACTTGCGTTGGCCCCAAAGTCTTCCTTGCGTTACGGCAAAAAGTCTTTTTGGTCAAATTAGTTTATGAGATTGTCATAACTTTTTACTTTGATTTTTGAGATTTAAAATCAATAAAAGAATTATCACTGTCAATTATTTTGGTCCTTATGAAAAACTTCTGTTAAATTGAAGAAACCACCACTCAAAAAGAGAGTTGATGTGACAAATTTTTTTTATCATTTTGATTCTTGTGAAAAACCGTTATTAAATTGAAGAAATTACCACTCAAATAAAGGATTGACGTGATAAAAATATCCTTAATTTAACAGAGATTTTCAACCACTTTGGATAAACATTCCAGTCTTTTTCTTCTTTTCCAAAAAAGCATTCCAGTCTTTCGGTTTTTTCTTTATTCCCTACTTTCCACGACTACATACAACAACCCAAGAAAAAAGTATACAAATCCAACGGTCTGGGTTCTCCATCGAAAGACCACCACAACCAAGATCGTAATTGTCTACTTTACCCTCAACTCTGCATGTCCCTTACCTAGTGGCCCTGCTCAAAGTCTTCGTCTTCAACTCTCTCACTCCCTCTCTTCCTCCGGCTGTCTCGTCTTCTCTACGCAACCCTAATTTTGCTGCAAACTTTTGGGTCGTCACTGTCAGCTCTCACATGGTAATCTACTTTCTTTTTCTCCCATGAATTTATTTGCTTTTGTCTGTAGTTATTTATTTTCTCCTTTTTCCCTCTGCAATTCGTACTATTTATTAATTTATGCAAAATTATGGTTTTGTTCTGTAAAATTGGATCTTGGAATTATGGAAGCTGAGAATCTAGATTTTTTTTCTTCTGTTTAAGCTTACTTGGAAGGGATTTTTCTGCTGGGCTTGACATTATTATAGAGTACCAGAGCATACTAGGCTTAGAAATTTAATTTTTTTTTTTCTGTTTTAATTTATATTTGTTGGGTTTTCTTTCCTTTTCTCTGTTTTATGGGGAACCAAACAGACGGCTAGGGTTCTGGTTTGTGGGTTTTTCAAAAGGTTACGTGAATGTGAGTTTTGCTGTTGAACTTTGTTGTCAAGATTTACAGTATAATACAGCTATTGTGTCTATAATGCTCTGTTTCCATGATAATTTCGATGTTTTGAGATTGAAGTACTTTTCGTGCTTTCATAATATGAACCTGTCGTGTTGGAATGCTGACTAAATTGTACTTTTTTTGTCATGTAGGCGAACAAGCACACGATCATTCTAATGCAAACTTCTCACAACAAAGCAAGTAGAACCTTTATGGACTATGATTCGATAAGTCAAGCAATGGATGGTATGTTTTATTTATTTATAAAAATTGTTGTTGTTACACTGTCATTGTTATCGTTCAGCATTCTTTCGGCTCCAAAGTGTATTTGGTCTTTGGTACTATGGACCACTTCATATGTTGTAAAAGGAATTCTTGTGTATAAGAAAAAAAAAATTGCCCGTGAACTGCTTATTCTTGAAAGAAACTGAAGGGCATAGCTGATTCCAGAGGGAGAAAATAGTTTACTTTCACCTATTAGGTGAATAAGTACGTTTTTCTTAGAAAATGAAGGATGTGATAAGTAACCGATATTGAGTATTTGGCTCCCTTGCTCGTCAATGTGAGAGTTGTTGACCTGCATGGAGTACTTGAATGAAATATTAGTATACCTAATTAGATATAAATGCCAACTTTATCCAGAATCCTAGTGATGATCCACTGATTTGGAACTCACATGGGGGTACCTGAACGGATAGTGAAATGCATAACCTTCTGCAGGAAAATTTCCCTGCAGTGGCATCTCTCCAGTTTGATGGAGTGTGCAGTTGTCGGGGATACTTATTTTAGTTAGGCTTGGAGTTTATAAGTTGTGAGAATGCTACTATATGACATGTGTTATGATTAATGTACCTTGTGTTTGGTGAAACATGATAGTTTGGGTGACATATTAAACTTCCACTTCATTGAGAGAAAACATGTTTCTTCGCTCTGCCCCTCTTCTTTTTTCTGTACATATATGTTTCTTGAGAGTTTTTTAACCCTTTTGGTTCACAGTTGGATACTTCAGGGTGAAAAAGGGTTGGAGTGCTCCCAAGAAATAATGTGGTTATAACCGCCATTGTTTTTTATTGCATTGACTAGAAGTTATGCTGTTGTGTGTATAGGTATATGTGGACTGTATGAGAGGAAGCTGAGGGAGTTAAATCCAGCAATTAGAGATATCTCTTATGACATCGGAGATCTCTACAATTTCATTGATGGCCTTGCTGACATGAGTGCTTTAGTGTATCTCTCTCTCTCTCTCTCTCTCTCTCAACAAAACTCACACACAAATAGGCACCAAACTATGTATAGCTTGTCACTGAACTATTTTTTTTGTAGAATTATGTCAACGATGTTCAAATTTTGAGTTAGAATGGTTCCCGATCATCTGCAGTTCTTTTAACTTTCCCATTTCAAGTTTTTGTTTGTGATGTCTATTGGGGTGGGAAACTGATACCTTTCGGTCTGGTTTTGGTTTGCAGATATGATCATTCGATTCAGGCATATCTCCCCTATGACCGACAGTGGATTAAACAACGGACACTTCGACATCTGCAAAAACTGGCGCATTGACAAAAGTGATGCTGCAGATTTGTCTGTAGCAAACTTCAGACTTGAATCAAATATTAAGGGAATTAGCTATGAAGTGTATAATTTCAGACTATCCGGGCTTTCATCCGGTCTGTGTTTATTCGGGTGTTGTAACTTTTCTACCTGTGCACGTATCTTCAAAATTACATGGTGGCTTTGCCCAAGTTTCAAATGAGAACCAACGTTTGTTGTCGGCTTCGATTCCGGAGCAATTCTTCTTTGTTTCATAAACCTTTGACTGTGATATCAGAATCTTGTATCATTTAAACTTCAAAGCAGAGGAGATACCCAAAAGTACGTCTATAGGGGTGAACCGTGAACGTTGTGTTGTGGTTTTAATGAAAACTAGTGTGGTTAGAGATTCAATCAAAACTACTAAATTACATGTTGGTTTTTATCAATAAAAAATTCAAACTCGAGATCTCTTCTAACGCTTAGAAGAGAAATTTTGTTTCTCTTTCCCAAAAGCAAAACCATATGAGAAATTATTCTCGCAATTAGTACCAATACAACCAAATATGAAGGTGTTTCATTTGATTGTTTTTGTGACATTTCATTCCATAATGGGAAAGATGTCTAAATTTCGAAAAGAGTTTTGATTTAGTGCAATAAGACCTTGATTAACAAAAATTTTAATTTTGCCAGTTAGTACTACGGTCTAGTGGTATTCATTTTTACGTAAGAGTTCATAGGTTCGATTTTAGTCAAAAGAGAATTTAAACCACAGTATTGCTAGCCCATTGTGAGACTAATCTCACCCTCTCCCCAATTAATGTAGATAATATCGTTTGCTCAAAAAAAACAAAAACAAAAATTTTATTGTGCCATCAAATAATATTTTGTAAATTAAAATCTATTTCAAATTTTTAATTTGAAAGTATATTCCATAATTCTAATAACGATAGACTAAAGGATTTTAATGTATTTGAGACCCAAATTAATTGAATATCTCCAAAAGGCAAATAATACTAAATAGTGCAATCCACTTGGTTTTTACAGTAAAAAAATCAGTAGTGCCCAAATTTACGATTAGGGCTTTTGCGGAGCCTCTTTCTGAATTTCTGATCGCCCGCTGCGTTTCACAGTCGTCGTCCTCCGCGGTTCTCGGCTTTGCAGAAAGAGAGGGCGGATTCGCAATCGGACCAGTCGGGTTAGGGCCTTGCGGGAATTAAAGCTTCAACCTTCACACACTCTCCCGGTAAGCAGATTTGATTTCCGACGATTGAGCTAAATAAATTAGAAATTTTGAACTTGGTAATCTCTCGTGGTTTGGAATTTCGTTTTTTATGCAAATTTGGGTTCGTAGTTTTTGTACTTTGTGAATTGACGTTGAAGTTATTGAGTTTTGATGCGTTTTGTCGAACTGATTTGCAGAAGCTGATGCAAAATGAGTTCGTTCTCGATTACCCGGAAGAAGACTCCGTTCCAGAAGCACAGGGAGGAGGAAGAGGCAAAGAAAAAGGTGCAGCTGCCGCCATTGATTATTAACCTCATTGAGCTTGTTGGCTTGGCTTTTGTGGAAAAGAGGTTTACTGACAAATTATTGTTTTGTTCTTTTCGATTTTCGTTTCAGAGAGCGGAGGATGAAACAGCTCGGTTATATGCGGAGTTTGTGGAGTCATTTCAAGGGGATAACGCACCTGGGTCGAAGGCCTTTGTTAGAGGAGGAACAATCAATCCCAATGAGAAGGTGAAGCCGGATTCCAAAGGTTAGTATAGCTGGAGAACTATGTACTGCTTTCTGTTCAAGTTCTGATAGTTTCAGTTCTTAGTGCTTTGTTTTCATATTATGCCATTGCACAATATGGATAAGTAAAATAGCTTTCCATTATTATCAGAACACATTAATAAAAGTATGGACCTTTTTATTCATTCGCGGATCGCAGGTGAAAAGTCCAAAGATGGGGTATCTGTTCCAAAGAAGGGGAGTAGGTAAAGAAATGCTTTTGATTAGCCATGCTGCAATACTCTTCGATAAGGCATCATAACTAGGAGAATTTTTATGGTGATGATTTGATATCCTTGGATGGATTTTGTGTTGTGAAGTTGTAAGTGTTCTAAATAGAAAAGTGGAAAATGACGATTATTCAACAATCGATTTCAAATAAATCAACCCTAATGTTTACTCATTTTCTCTTTTAATTCCATTTCTTTTGGTAAAATGTATTGTGAGCTTGCTATTCATTCCTAGTTTATTGAATGCGTTGGAAATCTTTGGGTTTCTTGAATGTTTTAAGTAACTGTATACTTCTACATGTGCATTTTTTATGCATATTGTACTGAACTCGAGGGTAGTGTCATATAGTGGAAGTTCTGTAGTTGGATTTAAACTCGCACAAATGCTAGGTTGATATGAAACATTGTCAGTTCTGTAACGTGTTCTGTGCGTAAATGTTTTATGAACCTTTTTGTGACGTAGTCAGTAGTCATATAGCTTATTCCGACTCATGAGTTGCAGTGTAATGTTGTCCAAATCAATAACAATACCAAAAGTTAGGTTTAAAAACCGTTTATACTTCATTCTAAGTGAGAAAATCTAGTGGTCACCTGGAGTTACTACATTATCTCGTAGAAACAACTAAGTTTTGGACCGGTTTGGATGAGCTTTTGAATACTTTTCTTTTCTATAGAAGCAGTGGGAAACAGTAGCCTGTTGATGTTGTCAATGGCTTATATTTATAATTTCTGAACTAAAGCTGATGTAGATTCATCGGGTTTTTTGTTTTTGTTTATGTCTTAAGCTTGCTTTCTAAAGAAACGTCTCAGAACTCATTTGGCAACGTGTTTCTGCACTGTAATTTACTTGTCATGTTTACATAAAAGTTTGAGAATGGAGGAATCAAACAGGCCCTCTAAGGTAGCGGTTGAAAGGGCTTGGTTAGGAATGAGCTATGGTTGAGCAGTTGATATGCTTCATTCTATGTATTTTGATAATCACTTTCCAGGAAAAGAGCTTCGATAACAAGCACATTTGCCATTATGTTACCTTCTACAGGTATGTTCCGTCTTTCTTACCACCACCTTTGGCATCCAAAGGGAAAGAACCTGAGAAGGTCAGTAGGTAATAGCTTTATTTATAGTATCAGAGTGAATTGTGTATTGACTCTAAATATTGCTCATACACATTGTAGAGGGAGGAGGAGAGGCCGAGGGAGAAAGAAAAAGGAAAGTCTCGAAACATCGATCATTTTATGGAAGAGTTGAAGCGTGAGCAGGAGATGAGGAGAGAGGCGAAATCAAGAGCGTGAAAATTGCCATGATGGGCGGCAGATGGAGAATTCTACTGTACGTATTTCCCTAATTAATTCTAGTTTTGAATTTTGTAGGAATGGTGATTTGGATGATATATCTTCACTTTAGCATGGGTTGTTTTAAGTTGGGTAAATGACTTTCCAGTTCTCAATGCATTTTTTTGTTGTTCTAGCATTTGAGCCTCGTTATTAGAATAGGTTTTTTATTTAATGAAAACATATGTAAATACACTTTGGCATTGTTGAATTACATCTTTTTTTTTTTTTTTTTTTAGTGTTAATATTTAGCGGTTCCTATTAAAATTTCTGTTTTGTCTTTCATTATGTCTTTACTTTATCGCTGTGTCATACAGATCTTTTATCTTGCACATCATATGTTTTCTAGTTCCTTTTGAAAAACATATGTTCATTAAGCCATACCTTTTCAGCCATCCAGTCGCTTTGATGAACTTCCTGACGAATTTGATCCAAGTGGAAAGCTTCTTGGATCATTTGATGATGGTGATCCACAAACTACTAATCTATACGTTGGAAATCTGTCACCAAAGGTTTGCTTCTTCTTCTCCATTTTTTTGTAGGGTTTGTTTTGACTTTGTACTCTCTTGCGTATGATACAAAGAACTTGCCAATCTGAGTATATGTTTCTCATATGGCTAGGTTGACGAAAATTTTCTTTTGCGAACTTTTGGAAGATTTGGGCCTATTGCTAGTGTGAAAATAATGTGGCCGAGGACAGAAGAGGAGCGAAGGCGCCAAAGAAATTGTGGCTTTGTAGCTTTCATGAACAGAGCTGATGGTCAGGCGGCGAAGGATGAAATGCAAGGTTGGTTACTTCCAGATACCGTACAATTGAGGCTTCCTCTTGGTAGATATTTTAAATATGTATCTGTGCTCTCTCTGCGAAGATAAAGTTATCCTATTTGGATCTCATGTTACTCGGTTTATACTAATCACACTAAATTAACTTTGAAGAACAAATTGCTAGTTGATGTTATTTTCTCATCCTATAAACTTTTGTGTACTGGGGAATGAAGGATAGTAAAGTAATTACTAATTAACAAAAAACATTGTTGTGCAGGAGTGGTGGTTTATGAGTATGAGTTGAAGATTGGGTGGGGCAAGTCTGTTGCTCTACCATCACAAGCTCTACCTGCTCCCCCTCCAGGACATATGGCCATCAGGAGCAAGGAGGTTTGTTTCATTTTCATCTTAAATGCTTTGAAATTAATTTGCAGCCGTAAATTGTTTGCCTGTTTGTTTCTCCTAAAGTTTGAAGCATCCTAGCTAATTGTTTGGGCATCAAGGATTTGACATTCTCAGCATCACTTGACGCTTCAGATGGATTGTTGGAGCTAACATTCTTTATTGTTGACAGGGTGCCACTGTAATCTTGTCTGGTCCATCAGGTCCATCAGGCCCACCTGTCACTTCTGTTCCTAGTCAGAATTCTGAACTGGTACACTACCTAGTTCTTTTGTGGTCACTACTTTTATTTATCCAATATTGCAATCTTGCCAATCTTTGGATATCTTTTTGATGAATAGGTTCTTACTCCAAATGTTCCTGATATAACGGTCGTTCCACCAGAGGATGATCACCTCCGCCACGTGATTGATACAATGGCTTTGTATGTTCTGGATGGTGGATGTGCCTTTGAACAAGCTATTATGGAGAGAGGTAGAGGGAATCCTCTTTTCAACTTCTTGTTTGAGCTTGGCTCAAAGGAGCATACTTACTATGTTTGGAGGCTCTATTCATTTGCTCAGGTAAATCCTTTGTCTTATGTGTATGCACACATGCATCATATTCCTAGGAAGTTCAGTAAAAAGACTTAAGCTTGTCTGTTACTGGTTGCTGAGTGATCTTAGCTATTGCTTCTTGAAGCTTCTTAGTATAAAATATCTGTAGCCTAAGGGACTGAAGATTTATATTAATGTTGTGCATGCAGGGTGATACTCTACAA